CCTCCTTCCCCAATTTGATAGCCAATTTTTCTTTATCTAAATCATTTGATACCTATCCACCTTACTCTTTTCTATGTTCACTTTCAACTTTTCTACCTTTAACACACATTCTCAAAACTCATCACTAACCTTTGTAATTTTTTTTTAGGAATCTCCCATAAGCCCAGTTTCTTCAGCAAAGTAACTGTGTCATTTCCCATTTTGAATTTGATTCCCCTAAGTTAATCCACCCTCTCCCGAACACCCTAGCATTTACTTCTTTTTTAACCCCATCTATAAAATATATTAACAACCATGGTGACATTACACAATCCCTGTCTAAGACCTACTTGTACCGCGGAGTATTCTCCCTCTCTTCTACACACCTATCCTGGAGCCTCACTATCCTCATAAAAGCTCTTTACAGCATTTAGTAACTTAACCACTATTCCATATACTTGAATCTGCACATGCTCCTCTATCAACTCTATCATATGCCTTTTCTAATCCATAAATGCATAAAAACTTCCCTACCTTTATCTAAATACTGTCACTATATATTTCAATGTAATACACGTGATCTACAATCCCTACCCACTGTGAAGCCTCCTTGCTCGGTCCCGCAATTCTACATTCTGTCTTACCTCTAATTCTTTCAAATTATAACCCTTACCGTTTACTTTTCCTGGTATACTCAGGTAAAACTTATTCCTCTATAATTTTTACATCTCTTTTGTCCCTTTCCTTTATATAAAGGGATATAACATGCTCTGCCAATCCATAGGTACCGTCCCTCTTTCATACATATATTACAAAAGTAACAACCACTCCACACTATATCCCCCTGCTTTTAACATTTCTGTCATGAATCCATCAGTTCCAGCTGCTTTACCCCATTTCATTCTACGTACTGCTCACGTACCTCCCCACACTTACATTCTGCTTACTTCTTCATCCTAAAAGATGGTTATACCTCACTGTGCCAGTGCACGAAATTACTGCCTCCCTTCTTCCTTAACATTTAAAAGATTCCTCAAAAATTCTCGCCATTACTAATACCTCCCTCTCCCATCTTTTAACTCCCCTACTCTGTTTTGAACTGACAAATCCATTTCTTTCATAGGCTTCCTAACTTGTTTATCTCACTCAAAATTTTCTTAATTTTCATAAAAATTTTCTTGACAAGTGCTCTCCACTCTTTCATTGCTCTCCTTTTGCCTTCTCACCTTCTCTTCACCTTTCTTTTAATCTCCAAATATCTGCCTATTCCTTATAACAACACTGCTGCTTTGTAAAAAACCTCTCGTAGCTACCTTTGCTCTTTTTTCAACACCTTTACTTCATCATTCACAATCACTCCTCTTCCTCCTGCCCCCACCTCCTATAACCAAAATTCTGCCCCACATTCTAATACTGCATTTTTAAAACTATTCCAACCCTCTTCAACCCCCCACTCTCTTCTTTGCACTAGCCACTTTCTGCCAATACGTCGCTTATATCTCGCCCGAAACTTCCTCACTCCTTAGTTTTATACACTTTCACCTCCCTATTACTTGTTGTTGCCACCTTCCTCTTTTCCCATCTACCTCTTCTCTATCTGTAGCTACAACTAAATTATGATCCGATAGATCAGTTGCCCCTCTATAAACAGGTACATCCTGGAGCCTACCATCAACCTTTTATCCACCAATACATAATCTAACAAAACTACTTTTTACGTGCTAATATACATTGTATATTTATTTATTACTCTTTTTCATAAATATTGTATTACTTATTACAAATTTTTTCTACACATAGCTCTATTTAAGCTCCTTTTACATTTACCCTGCACCCAAAATTACCTACTACTCCCTCAATAACATTTTTACCACTTTGCATTGAAATCCCCAACCACATTTACTCTCCATGATTCAAAAAACTTCCATGCATTCACTCAACATTTCCCTGATTCTCTCTCTCTCTACAACTTCTCTCTTCTCCAGTTGCATACACGATTACTATAACCACTTTTACATCCAATCTTTATTTTACTCCTCCTAATCCTTGAATTTTATACATTTGTAGTCCCTCATTTCATGCCATAGCTTATCATTCAACATTATGCTACTCCTTCTTTTAGCTCCTAACTCTGTTGGAAAAACCCCTGACACTAATCCATTTATTCCTCTCCATTGAACACTCTCACCCCCTTCAGCTTGTTTCAACTTAAGCCAGGACATCCAGTTTCTTTCTCATCTATAACATCCACAATCATCTCTTTTTATCATTTGCACAACTTACACGCACATTCAGACTTCACTTTGACAATTTTACTTCTGCTGATTCTTTTTAGTAATCTTTACAGGGGAAAAGGGGTTACTAGCCCAGTGTTCCCGGCATTTTTAGTTGACGTTTTAAACACGCATGGGCTTACGGTGGAAAGGATTTTATTCCACTTCCCCATGGATATAAGGAATGTAATAAGGAACAAGAACTCTTAAGATAAAAATTCAAAAGAAAGCTCAGATGAGTGTGTATA